CCGAAACTTGATGCGCTGCGAACGAGGCTCATTCAAGTAACTGCGTATCATCCCGCAGAGAGACCTTCTATTTCCGGAAGACCGAATATCGATCGGCTTCGGAAATGAACGTAGGCGCAACTCGGCGCTCTGCCATACCCAATGAAATGAGAGAAAATTGTCAAAATTTTTGAGGAAATTTTTTTGCGCAAGAAACAACTGCAGGCTTGGTCGCAAAACCGAGGCTTGCGATCGCGAAACAACACCGGCTGCTCTCGGAACTATAAACTATACATGTTTACAAATGAATCTAAATTTAGCTATCGGCTACTACATACATTAATTATAGATATTTCAACGTACGCCATTTAGTACATAATCCGATTAGCCGAACAGTGTTCGTGGCGTGCATAATTGACATTGCATTAGTGACATGGATGCGTCGGGAGAACTTGGAATGAGCTTCCTTCCGCGTAAGATTCTATTATACCTCATTGTATTAAGCGTGCCTTCTATCTTAATGCACGTGTATTCCACCTTACTATCTACCTCGGTTTAATTAACAAACATAAATGAACTGATTGTATTTATAAGCTGTGTAGCACCTAATAAGACCTTGAATGAGTGTCTGTCGCTGGAGCAAAAATAGACCTAGTGATATTTTAAATGTAAACATGTATGAATTTGGCAATTTGCTATTGGACAAATGAAGCCTATAAACACAATGAGGCACTTAACACACCTTAATAGTGAGGCCTTTCAAGAAGCTGGATTTTAAAAGCATTCGATTATGTTGAAGAACTGAACTTCGCCTCAGGTAGAGCTGTAAACAAATTTCCACTATTAAGCGAGTAACTTATGATTTCATATTGACATTTTTCGTTAACATTTGCCCCATCCGTTAACTCAAGACGTTGAGGCTCTTAAGATCTATTCGAGAAAATCAATACAGCGATCGAGAAATGATCCATATAATTAAATGGCCGCTTGCGTTGCTGTGCGCGTAATGAAGCGAAGCTCTCGTTTGTTCTGCTTCGATTATGCAAATATCGACTGGGCTCAAGAAATTACGAGAAAGATGCTCTTTGAACGAGGAAATCTGTCGAGTTTGCTTCCAGGATAGAAATTCCGCTCACTGGTTCCATGTTTTTATAGTACGCGATGGTTAGGCCTATTGCTTTCACGTGAATAAATTACATAATTACAATGAGATTGGCAACGATTTCTCCATTAGTTAAGTTGAAGGGTAATCGATATTATGTAATGTTTTATAAACGTATTTTAGTTACTTAAATTTTATGATATAAATAGTGAATTATCAAGATCCTTGAATTTATACCCTGCAGATATCGTATTTATTATCATAGTTAATTTAAAATTACTGTTAGTTAGAATAGTAAAACTGTATCTTTTCACTGACATTGATCATTCTTATTCTATTCTGGCTTGAAGACATGCGAACTTATTTAATATGTATATTGTAAATGTTTACTGGTTTCAGAATTAATCCATTTAAAAGAGAGGGGTACGCATGAAATTTTCAATTGAGCTCTATTACAAAAAAAAAATATCTTTCATGTCCGGTTGTGCAAAATTTATTTTAATGCATGTACTAGCGGGTAATTAGTGTTGTAGTCCTTCTATTCAAAAATTCCTTTCATTCAAACTACTTCGTAGGTAAAGCAATCTTGGAAAAATTCCAGACTGGCTTTGAAATTTCAAGTTTGATTTCGTTCTAAACCGCAAATAACAACCTTAAAATTCTTCAGTCCTCGAAGGAAATAAACCCTCGACTCTCTGCGAACCAACTGCAAGCATGAAAAATATTTATAAAGAAAGATTTTCAACGGAGACCATCACCGGCTTTGAGAACAACTATGAAAAAATACTGAAGGAAAATAGAACACTTCTTTAATGTCGTGGGCATTTAATTGCTTGGCCAATACGAGTCTAATGTTCTTTCGATTGCTTGAACTTTCGATTACTCTAATATTCTTTCGATTATTATTCTTTCGATTACTTATTCTTTCGAGTACTTGAACGCTGGGCACAGAAATCTTGATGCATAACTTACAAATCATCCTTCTAAAATTGTATATTTTTGCAAGCACGTAACTTTATCGGATAATTCCTGCAAGAGTTGATGGTCATCTAAGTGCTATCGCTGACGTGCCATAGTCCCAGCAATAGCCGTTCAATGCATCACGAGAGAGAAGGCCTCGTGTCCCACGGAACGGCCTCGGTGGCAATCCTTACGAGAAGCAGGGAAGAAAGAATCCTTTGTACTAGAGAGCGCAGTATTTCTGAGGCTTTTGTGAGCCCCTGTTTACTCTTCCTTATCGGGTAAAGTTGGCAGCCAAGTCATCGCGGTGTCGGCTTATTACGGACACGCCGCAATCACCGACGCGTTCGCAATAAGAGGCAATAGTGCCTTTTTGGCATCCCGGGGCTCAGACCTGCAACGCGACACCAATAAAAATCCTAGGCATTTATCATGGACTTGTTTCGGATTTCTCTTAATGCCTCTAATGACCGCGAATGGCTTAGCAATTCTCAGCGAGGTTTTCTCGGAACACACTTGGGAGGGAGAACGCCTACTACTGAAATGTTCCGGAAGTTTGTGTGTCAATCATGTTTTGATAATTAAAACTTTGCAAACTTTGCAAAAAATATTGAAAAAATTATTAAATATTGTGAGAAGACAGGATTCTGTGTGTATCGTCAAATCTCTTTTTATTTTAGCATTTTATATATTAATACTAATAATAATTATTTATTTGTCAACCCTATAGTATAATTGATTTTATTCTAATGGTTAAATAACTGACAAAATATCCCACCCAGCGCTTCAAGCTAAAAATCCGTATTTGCAATATATTTATGAACATCTCTGAGAATAATCAACATATTTCAAGTTCCATACCAGGGAGGTCCTCGGGGAGGGGGTGTATAGGGTTTACTTAATCCTTATGAAGAAATCCTGATGCGATCGTTTGTGCTGCTGGGGAAGAATCCTGCGTCGAGAGATCCTTAGCTGTAACGACGACCACGGATCGTCGTTGATGCTTCCTGTAGCCGAGATATACGAGCAGTACAAGGATCCTCGTGCGTTATAACACCGCACGATCAAAGTTATCGAAAAAAACACGATCGCCAAATTCACGAGAAAGTGAGAGCTATTTCAAAATTTATCCCACAGAAATTCATGATTTTTGAATGACTTTGTGAATTTTTTTAATTCAATAAAGGAAATGGTGCGATGAAATTCAAAGTGCAATTATGACCTTATTTTTAAATCCAGACATGGCTCTGTAGTCAGTAAAAATGTGTTGATTTTTTAATGAATCTCACATTATATGCGATCAGTGTCATCAAAAATTAGTTCAGTTCAACATTAACATTTTGTGAAACAATATTATTAATAGAGGATGAATAATAGAGGCGAATCTAAAATATATTGGCAAGTTTACAACGGAATTAAACATCACATGAACCCAGAAATTACTTTCCATAATCAATCGGATTGATGAGTTTGCTATAACGTTTCGCTGCGGTGGCACCGGGTTCAGGCGCTGCTTGGTAGCGGAAATTCTGTTTACGTCCCGCCTCTACCAGAAACTCTGTTTGCATCCCGCCTCTACCAGCAACTCTGTTTACGTACCGCCTCTACCAGCAACTCTGTTTACGTCGCGCCTCTGACAACAACTCTGTTTACGTCCCGCCTCTACCAGAAACTCTGTTTACGTCCCGCCTCTACCAGCAACTCTGGTTGATCTGAAGAACCCCATCGCTACTCTGAAGAAGTAGAACACGTCTCGGACAAATTTACGGCCGGACTTGCGGCCGGTCTCGCGGCCGGACTCGCGGCCGGTGTCCAAATTCAGTGTACATCGAATATCTCCCAAAGTACTGAACGTATCTCAATGAAACTTGGTACACGTATTCATTATGTACAAATTTAATAAATCGGGTCCATCATTTAGAATAACCCTGAGCATTGCATGAAACTGTAAAAAGTATGTTAGAAAATTTTTATTTTTTCTTATTCACAATTGCATAAGGAAACCAACACTCTCATGAATGATACATTGAACTATTTTGTAGAATCGGACTAAAATTGTGATTTTATAATGAAAAAGCACTAAAGTCGTAGTGGTGTATACGATTATGAACAATTGAATACCGTATATCTGAATATTTCTTAGATATTCGTCAAAATCGATGTTCGATACGTGACTTTAAAATGAAAATATTTTCAAACTCTCAAGTCTTGAAACGATTATCATAATTCATGATAAGTGAATAAAATTGCGAAGATTATATTATCTATTGCGAGCCATAGAAAGAGTATCTGGTCGGTTAATTAAGAGTGTTCTAAGAATACGCTTAAATCTTGAGCTGGCTGAGTGTTGAAGCGAATACATTTTCTCTTCGTTTTGTAATGGTCTGTGATTCTACCGCTGAAAATAAAGTTTCAGGTCCATATATCTCGGTACGACGGATATTCTGAACACTTATTCTAATAACACTTATAAATTTAATGTGCTGTGAGTAGCAGCAGTGCTAGTAGCTCCACAACGGTACAGTTCCTCCAATAAGTTTCGTTTTCTACCTGATGGTGAGAATATTAAAAGAAAACATGAGAGCATAAACACAAGATTTATTTCCCCGTAATTCATCATTACTTATTACATTGGATTTGTTGAATCAGGCGTTGAAGAAAATTATCTACATTAATAATACAGTATCAGAGCGTGTGATGATATGATATAATATGCGTTATAAATTACTTTTTAGAGACAACACTTCTAAAGAGGCCAGTGTCTGCGATGTTACACATGTACAATGTATTTCTTATTTTATTTTTAAATATTCAAACATTATTTATAATATTTTTTCAATTTTTAAAATTATCCATTCTGTCAATTGATTAATGCATTGTCTCCGACTTTACGCAAGTGTGCAAAATTTCAGATCGATTGGACAAGTGGAAGTGTATTAAATATTGATTATAAGATTTGTAGCAAACAAACAAACAAAAAGAAGTGGAGCTTAAGAGAAGTATTGCAATAAAAAGATTGAGCTTGGTCCAGATTTATTTCCGAATTTTACTGGAGAAAATACTCGAAATCAAACTATAAATCTAATTTTTCATCTTCTTGGCCTCAATTTGCAAACACCAGCCTATTGCTATCACGATTGCAGTATTATTGAAAAATGTCTATGAATACTGACTGGTCTACTTAGAGAGTTAATTTGGACGACAATTTCTCAAGGGAGAAGAGAGACTTTAGGTTGTTTTATTGATGTTTATTTTCAAGATTGATCATTTCTTATTGTTTTGCCCCTCTATGTAGTGGGAATGCTTCAGTGGGCCTGCATTGTTTCCGTTCGCGTATGCTGTGCAGCGTTAGCGAAAACTGGGGCTGCATACGGTACAGCCACAACCTGTTGTACAACTGGTGCTACATGCACCACAGGCGAGTGTTGGTGCACCACATCAGCAGTTTTAACCAACGGGAAATGATGCACCTGCTGTTGGTGAGTGTGATGACGCACAACTTGAACGGGCTGGTTCACCTCCACCTCGTGGTGATACACGGGGTAGGGCTGAGGTACTGCATAGGGCTGGGGCACTGCGTAGGGCTTGGGTACCGCGTAGGGCTTGGCCACGTAGTTGTGGTGCACGTCTTGCACCACCTGCTTCCTGAATACGGGCTTCTCCACTGGCACGTTGTACTGGCTGTGTACGGTCTTTTGCTTGAATCGGTGCTCAGTGATCTGAAACCCAATTTATTATGTTA